TCAGATTTATTGGCCTACCAGTGATGACAGGCTTGTCTTTCAAGCACGAATTCCTGTCAACCGTTTTTCTTGCGGAAAATCTGGATCGTTTTCTTCTGGATAAGGCTGTTGATCCGCCACTGGAATTGGGTCGGCATGAGTTCCTAGTCGTGGGGTTGTAAATGGCAAACAATTATCAGAATTGTTGGCCGTCGTAGCACCTTCACCTGTAATGTGGCAGTCTCGATCGAGGTCCCCGTTGAAATTGCCCTCGGTGGTAGCCTCGGAATCTAAAGAACCGTCATTTTCGGCACTGTTCAACGCAGTGCTGGCGATTAGACCATCGAGCATATTTTCCCACAACTCAATGGTGCTTTCGTCTCCATATTCGCCGATTTCTTCCCATTCAAAATGCTCAAGGTACTCATCCAACTGCTTGTCGCTGAGGACTACAGTATCAAGGCTATCATTTTCGTCATGAAGTGGTCGCTGAAAATTCCCAGTGTTGACTCTGGGTGAAGTTCGCTGGGTAGGCGTAGCCTGCTGGGTGCTCGCTGGCGTTTTGCTTATTGCACGTACTGAACATCCTTCACTTGAATTCCCAGGAAAAAGGACTCGCGTTAGTGGTGGTGAGTCAGATGGATCTTGGTCAGTAGTGGAATTGACAGACCGGCATTCTGGAGCTGGCGTTTGAGACAGAGGCGTTGGTAGGTTGGATGGAGTTGGACGTAGTGAGTTGGCTGATGTTGAAGATACTGGGTTGGCAGGAGTACTGCGGGCTGAATTTTGAGGTGTGGCAATGGATACTCGTTCTTGTTGGTCAAGCGTCCGAAGCAATTTCTTGGTGATTGTTGGAATAACTTTCTCACGGCGATTTTTTCTCGGACGTATTGGCGCATCACCTGATGCTTCATAGTCTTTTCGATCGTCATGCGGTTTCTTTTTAGCGTTTGAATGAGTGCGAGCTCACTAAACAAGCGCTCGCATGTAGCTGTGTTAACAACGATGGACAAGATTGTCAGAGCAAGGTGTGGCAATTTGCTGTTTTGCTTTGACTTGCTTTCATACTCCCAAAACATTACCACGGAGTCATCACTGAAATCTGCGCTGCGTGAGGTGGTGTACTCTCCACGGATCCACTTGAACATTTCGTCTCTCAGTCCACTATCACCATCGCTAACAAAGCGACGATATTAATACTGTGCGAATTGACACACATCATCAAGTCCGGTAAGCACAGTCGAAGGAAGCTCTCGGGCTTTCACCACGTACTCAGGATGGAGAAAAAAAACTAACATGAATAACGGCTGTTCGCAGGCATTCCAACGAAGCTCCACCAGTTCAGTCAGG